GAGGAGTTGTTCTGTAGCTGACTGGATCTGTGGATGCAGAGCTCATGCGTGGGGCCAGGCTGTACTTCTGTATAGTGGGTATCATAATTCGTAACACGAGGCCAGTGATGGTGAACCTTTTAGAGCTTTCAATGATATAAACAGCCCACTGTGGCACCTGTCACAGGTCTGCCACCTCCTCCCACAGCCTGTGTGTCTCCTCCTCTAGGCTGTGTGGCTGTCACTGCACACACACTTGCTGCCTCTGTGGCTGCCTGGCTAACCAGGAAGGCAATGCCACGGAATGCTCATCTCAGTCATTTCTCAAGGGACATGTGGGCCCCCTGGTCAAACAAGTAGGCACACTGCCTTCGGGTTCCTTATTCTGTCTTCCTTTAGGAGAACTGATGTTTGCTAGTGTAGGAAACTCTGAGATGGGCTCCAGAGTCAGGGTAAACTAGTGTAACTTTTGTGCTTCTAGCCTTATGTGCCCCAACTTGAACGTAACTTTTTTTTTATCCTCATGTCTATTAATATCCTGCAGAATAGACTTTAAGAGGGCTGGGGAGATAGCTTGGTGGTCTAAATACCTGCCTGGCAAGCACAAGGACCTGGGTTTGGTCCCTGGTACAGCATGCTGTGCCAGCCCTGGAACTCCAGGTACACTGAGCCAGCCACTGAAACCGAGCATGGTGGTGCCTGCTCATAATCCTAGCACTGGTGAGGCTGAGACAGGAGGATCACTATGAGTCTGAGCTGCACAGTGAGACCCTGTACCAAATAAATAAATAAGCATAATTTAAAAAATAAAAGAATAGACTTTAGGAGACACTTTACTGGCTGTTCCCTGCCTGAGAAGCCTGTAGTTCTCAGGGTGTCCAGGCTTGGTTTTTTTTTTTTTTTTTTGGCTTTTAATATTCTTTTTTTATTTTATGTATTTAGTACAGGGTCTACAGGGTCTCACCACACAGATTGGACTTGTAGTGATCCTCCTGTTTTCAGCCTCCCAAGTGCTGGGATTACAGGCTCAGGCTTGGTTTGGGGGCGAAGGGTCCTGCTTTGAGTACCATCAAATACACTGCTGCCATGACACAGCGCATATGCACACATTCAGATAAGCTGCTGCCACTTCAGGACAGATGGCCATAAGCAAATTTTGGAGCTAACCCAGGCTTATCTTTCTCGGGGGGCGGGAGTAGCAGAGACTTAGTGTTTGTGGATTTAACTTTTACAGTTACAGCTATGACCAACTCACCCTGACTTCTCTTTTGGTAAGACCTGACCTGCAAGTCTTTGGGAAGCTGGTGCATAGATGTAGGATCCCGAACTCAAGGCATTAAGCTACGACCTAGCATTGTACCTCAGTGTACTCCTGTTGTCAGTATCTGCAGCAACCCTCTCGAATTTCCCAACAGACTTGAGTGAACATGCGGGAGCCACATGCAGTATTGGAATTAGTGAAGATTTCAGGTCATATCCACCTTGTACCAATAGGATGTACTATATAGCTAGGATTCCTGGAATGGAGCTGTATTAAAGGCAGTGGATCTCAAATTATGTTTGATCTGTCCCCACTTAGGCAGGGCAAAACTGGTTGACCTCCCGACTCCATCTATTTCATTTTCCAATGGAAAAATAAATTAGTGGCAATTTGGAGAGAGTGGATTATGTATACACTCGTTCTAGTGCTGGAGTAGAACGATTCACAATGGAACCACAATGTATACATGCCGGAGAGACTAGTTATTGGAAAATTATAGCTCTCAAATACTGTTAATGCAAATAAGCTTCAATGTATTCTGTAGGGTTAACCAAGTAACCCACAACAAAATAAACAGATAATGATCAAACTAAGCTAACAGTAATTCATAATTAAAAAGTGCCAGAGGCAGCAGCTGGAAATTGCAACCAACTAACGGCAGTACTTTGGAGATGTCAACTCTACCTGGGAACTCGGAGTCCCTGACTGTCACCGACAAACTCTGTGAGGCTGGCAGCTGCTCTTCCCAGCACAATACTGGAGGGCGCTCAGTAAACTTTCTTATGTATTCTTAGGCAATCATGAGTTGGGAGACCTAGTGATATGTAAAAATGAAAGCTTAATCAAGTTGCACACAACTGGGCTGGGCCCAGGTGTAGCTGGTGGCAGGATATATGCTGAACATGAGGGAGGTCATGGGCTGTACCCTCAGTACCATGAAAAAAAGAGAAAAAATTACACATAGTTGATCATAATGTCCCCAAAGGGAATTAATATTCAGTTCCAGGGATACAAGGATGCCTCTGGTTCCAGGCCCCCAGCCTCCCTGCCTGCACCCCTGCACCTCACAGTAGAGGTGCTTCTACCCGGCAGGGTGGGCCTTCCTAGCTTCAGCAGACTAGAGGTGTGCATTTGGGTTTACAGATTGCGCACATTTAAAGATATATAAAGATTTGAAAAAAATAAGCAATGTAAAACAATTTCCAAGATAAAGCATGATGTGGGGGGGGGGACCTCAAACCAGCGTGCACAACAGCAAATATTAGGAACTATGTAAAAACAAAAACAAAAACAAAACTGCAAACATATTATATGCAGGTCAGGCTTTATCTGCTTGGAGTATGTCCAGAAGTGTGCATTAGATGTGCATAAGAAATGACCAGAACAGCTGCAGATCATGGTTCCTGCGGTGGGGGGATGGCGATTTATGTCTTTTGTTTATTTATTTATGTATTAGTTGTTATAGGGTCCAACTACGCAGCTTGGACTCATGGTGCTCCTCCTGTTAACAGCCTCCCCAACTCTGGGATTACAGGCGTGAGCCACTATGCCTTGACTCTGGCCAGCTCAACCAGCCCTGGGGGTGGGGCTGGGGCTGGGGCGCCATGTGGTGCTGGGGATCAAACTGGGGTCCCTGCGCTTTCCTAAGGTTGCCTAAGCAGGCGCTTTAGTCCGCTGTGCTATCTCGCCATCCCCTCATTTATTGCCCTTTGAGTTTTGTACAGTTTTTGTTTACCTATTAAAAATAATAGTGAATTTAAATTGAAAAAACAGTACTACAAATCCTCAGAGACTTGTTTCTTTCTTGCAGTGCCAGGGATTAAACTCAGGGCCTTATAGATAGCAAGAGCTCCACCTCCAGCCTGAGACCTGATTCATTTTTCAGTTTCTTCCCCGCCCCCACACACCCGGGACAGGACGGTCAAGTTTTCCCGGGCATCTTTCTCCTCTCACAGCTATGTTCATGCCTTCAAGGGGAGAGTGGAGAGTGTACAGGAACAAGATGACGGGGTTATACGGCCAGAGCTTGATTCTGGAATGGCCTATGCTGAAGCATAATTTTCTGATAAGTTAGAACTGTTATGTAAAAACTTTCCAAGTGTTCCAATGTGTTTTCATTATGCAAATATTTTTTTTTTTTTTTGAGGAGTGCTCTTGTAAGGGTACCAGTATATTTGTCCCTTAAGTGTGAGGGACAGATGACATAAAAGGAGACAAGGTTTTATACAGCACAGTGTGTTTGAATGCATTTCTCAATTTCATCCTACTTAGTATTGCTCAAGGAGACCAAGCATTTAGGTTTTATCTTGATTTGCTACCAGACATTTAAAAGAGAACAAGAAACACTGTACTAATATTTATTATTTCCCAAAGATAAAATAGGATGCCTAATTAGGAATTACATTCTTGTCTATAAATCGACACAAGATGGTACATTGTCTTTGTATCATAAATGTTCATTATGCTGAGTAACAATTCTTTCTTAGAGCAAAAAATATCCAAAGAAATATGCAGTGTACTGAAATCTCTGGGTTCTAGGTTACTGTGGCTAGCCAACAGGGTAAGAATCGATGAGAAAGCTAAAGGAATGTTCTAGAAAACTGTAGGCCTCCCTTTGGATCATGCATAAATTCCTCAAACCAGAGTCAGGCTTAGTGACAGGACAGTCACACAATTCTGGAGGAGGCTACCCAGGCTGTGCTTCACTGGTGTGTTGATAAAAATTCCGTAATGAAGACAGACTGTCAGCACCAACATTTATGAATTGTAAGGCCTTGGTCGATTTTAGAGCACAAGTATTACGTACCATAAGCCACACTTCTTTGTCTCTGAGGCTATCCCCGTATCTGTTAAGTGTGCAAATATTTCCCAGTGCTTCTTATTCCCCCAGGTTCTACCTCTCTAGCCCCTTCGGTCCCGTCCTTTTTCCTACTGGAGCAGGTGGCAGGCTGGCACAAGGAAAGCTGTGTCCCCAAGCCCAGTCTGAGTGCAGGAGATATGACCAACCACAAGCCCTTCAGTACCCACAAGGAGGAACTGCTCAGCTTTGGTCTAAATGACTTACATTTTTCCTTGCCTGAATTAGCTGGTACTTGCATGCGGGCAGACTTAGCCAGAAAGGTCTAAATGATCAATGAGAAGGTAGAGAGGAGTTTCTTTCTTTAAAGTTCAAGGGTCTCCGCAGAAGAGCCCTGCTTTCCAAGTGATGCCCGTATGAGCCTGTGCCCAGCTCTCTGTGGTACCTTAGTATATTGTACATTTGCCTAACGATAATGAATTGAGTACTTATTTTGCAAGAAAATATAGGGCATTTCCATTACATGCAATCAAGCAAAAAGGCTGCAAAATGTGCCACTCCATTAATTCTAAACAGAATCCTTCCCAAATGTCACTGTGAAACCAGAGTATGGGGTTATTATAAATCTGAAGGAATTAAGAGTAATTTTCATTTGCACAAAGAATTTGAGGGACATGATTCCTGCCACACACCCACTATTAATTGGGTTAAATTCAATTTGCTAATTTCAGTGTGATTCACCAGCCCTGACCTGGCCTCGTGAGCTCTGCGGCCGCAGTCCTCTTTGAAGATGCTGGGTGCGCACATGCGCAGAGCACGTGCTGTGGCTGACTGTTGTTCATAGAGGACGAATGCAACTTCCATGGAGTCATGAAGGTTAAGGAATTTGAATCTAGTAGGGCACACTTTTTTGGGGGGTGGGGTACAGGGTCTTACTATGCAGCTCAGACTCGTAGAGCCCGGGCTCTATCACCGACATGTGGGACCGGGGATCAAACCGTGGTTCCTGCGCTTACGGAAGCAGGCGCTTAGTCTGCTGAGCTATCTCGCCGGCCCTCAGCAGGGCATGTAAGGGCACTTAACTATGTGCCGTGCATAGTTTATGTCCATTAATGATAACTACGGTCTTATTTTCATCTTCTGGGGACTCATTTGTGCCTAAGCTTCTTTGAAAACCACGTGGAGGGAAATCTGGGCCTGACACCTGGATAGGAACATCTTTCTTGGGTCATTTCTGGGTCAGTTTGTGGGGCCTGGGAGGTGGGGTCCACCCAGAGACTCCTTGGTCCCTTCCTTCCGGATTTCAATTCCAATTGCCACTATCTCTGGGTTGCAAACGCTGGGCTGTGGGTGCGCACAGAGCAGGGAACAGAAACAAGCTGGGAAAGGCGACTCGGGGGCTGGCCCATGCTCACAGGGAGAGCGGGTGGGCAGCGGCGGCCGGGCCCTCACTCCACGTTCCGGTACTTGGTGAAGAGGTTGTACAGCACTCTTAGCGTGGACTTCAGATCACAGTTGACGATGTCTGCGGAGAAGCGAAAACACCAAGCGCCTCAGTGGGGCCACATGCTCCTAAGCTGGGACCGAGTCTCCCTGTCCACCCGCTGCTCATCCCCAGCTGCCCACCATGGTCCTGGGCTGGCTCTTGGCAGCGGGGGCGGGGGGGGGATGTGTAGAAGGGTGGCAAAGTCAGGGGATGGAGGCAGTGAGGAGGTGACGTCTGGGGTGTGAGGGAGTCGCCTCTCACTGCAATAAAGCAGACGCCCAGGCACGCAGGTGTCATCCTGGAAACCCCACGTCCGGAAGGGGGGGGGGCACTGCCTTGACGCCGCTGAGTCTCACCTGTCCCTCTGCCTCTGCCCTTCACAGGGTGTGTGGAACGAAAGCTGGATGTCAGGACTTTAGGGGGTCAGGGTGTGCAGCCGGCCCCAGGCCATCCCCTGGGGGAGGGGCAAGAGGGCGCAGGAACTTCCATGCAGAGAGAGGGGCCAGATAGGGGTCACAGAAAGTGAATGTCACATTAGGGACAGCACAAGGAGGGTAGTTTGGCAGCACTGTGGGGAAGCCGGAGCTGGAGTATGAGTTCCACCAGGTTTCCTGAGCTTTAGGCAGCTCCTCCCTTCCTCCCCTCTTCCCCTCTTCCCCTCTTCCCCTCTTCCCCTCTTCCTCTCCCCTCCCCTCCCCTGCCCTCCCCTGCTCCTTGAAATACCTCAACTGTGATGATACAATGTCATGGGACAGGTAAAGCAGGGGACAAAGTCACAGGTGAGGGACTGGCAGTGTTTTCAGGAGAGTTGCAAACAGATGAGTATGTATGGCTGGCGGGAGAGGCAGGGTGTGGGGCGGGCATACACCCTGAAAGGTCTGGCTTCCCAACTGTGGGGCCTGGGTGACTGCGTAGGCAAGAGGCTGGAAAGTGGCCGCTGCCACGGTGCATTTCGCACTGCCTTCCCTGTATTCCTCCTTCCGCTCCACCACGTTCTCTGGTCCTCTAACTTGGTGGCAAGCCCTTCTCCTTGCCCCTCAGAGAAGGTGCCTTCTCTGCTCTCACCTGCCTTGTTCCCGGGGAGAGCCATCCTTTGAAGAATGGAACATGGTAATAAAAGGAGCTCTGTCCACCACTGTGCTTAGACTGTGTACTTAGGTAACAAAACGATAGCAAAAAAGCAAAAATAAAGCCAGGGCTGCCTTCAGAGCGGGAGAGAGGCCTGTGTAGAAAGGCACAGGGAAGTTGGAGGGCGCTGGCACTCCCCTGCGACCTAGGTGGGGGCCTGCCTCATAAGCTATCACTAACCTGTGAATCACATTTATGCATCTTTCTATGTATACGACATTTTTCACAATAGAAATGATTTTGGCAGCTTATACTGCTGGAGAGCAGAAGGGGATGAGACAAGGTAATACATAATCTGGCACTCAAAGGGAGGAGCGGTCACACTGAGCCACTGGCAACAAGGGGACTAGGGACGCTGGTCATGTCCTGGTCCATGGGAGCAGGGTTCCTTCAAGACCAGAGAAAGTGGGAGGCTGCTGGCTCCCAGGGCCAGGTATTCTGAGGCCCGGGCACCAGCTCTGCAAAGACCCACAGGCCAAGAGCCCACGGCTGTGCCCCAACAGCCCAGCCTCAAGGCCAGCTCTCCTACTGATGGGCTGCAGGCTCCCTGGGAGCCACAGCAAGGCCCTGAGCTTACAGCTGCGCTTTCCGCTGTCCCCGTGATCCCTCCACCCAGGGCAGCCCCCACCTAGGCCTGGGCCCGAACTGAGCCTTGCTCCCCCACCCTGCTTGTGCCGAGCTGCGTAGCCACCCTGAGTCTCCTCCTGCAGGAAGGAAAAAGCCTATGTCCTCAGGGCTGGTGCCTGTCTGCCTCCGACTGCTTGGTGTTTGCTGAAGTTTCCTTAAATTTTGTGTAAGTCAAAGATGAGGATGTCACTCTGGGGAACAACTGTTAGAAAGGCAGAGGGGGCAGGGGGGAGAGCTCATCACAGATGTGAACATGGAAGGGAAGGCAGAGTGGCACTGGGGACATGTTGGCAGGGACTGTGCAGGGTGCGTACTGTGTCACTCTAGGATGGTGTTACCGTGGATCCTGACATGAACAGTGCACTGCACCCGTGCAGCTCACAGTCACTGCACATCAGGCCCAGAGTCCTCAACCCTGGCTTTGGTGCTTAGTTGAAGATTGCAGATCTTTGCTCATTAATGGAGCTGTGTGGACAGCTGTGCAGGGCGTGTACTGAACAACTCTGGAGGTCACCACTGCCAAACAGCCCTGAGTCCATTATTCCTTGCTGTTACCACCACTCCAGGTAGGCTGAGGAAGAAAAGCCCGCCATCCCAGAGCCCGAGTATCCCCAGTTCTTATCAGGAAGGCCAATGGCTGGCCACCCAAGTAGCCCCGAGTGGACTAGGAGACCTGGGTGCCTGAGCTATCTCGGCAGAGAGGCTTGGATTCCTGGGAATATATTGCGACTCCATGCTATACAAACAGAGCCTGCTGAAAGTGCTGGCCTCATCTCATGAATTGCGTAGTTAGCCAGGAGGACTGGTGACTGCCTGCATGCTGCCTTGGGTAGGCGGGAGGGCTGGCTCTCCCTCTCGCTCTCCCTCTCCTCCCTCCCCTTCTCCCTCCCCTCCCTCCCCTTCTCCCTCCCCTCCCCCTCTTCCTCGCACTCTTCTTTTCCCTCTCTTTCTCTCCTTTTCTCTTTCAATGTGATGTTGGCAATTGAACCAAGGCCTTTGTGCTGAGCTACATAACCCAACTCTCCAAAATTTTTTACAGTTCTGAGACAGGCTCTTGCTAAGGCACTAAGTTGCCCCAGCTAGGCTTGAACTGCAATGGTCCTGCCTCAGCGTCCCACAATGCCGAATTTACAGGTATGTGCCACCATGCCCAGATCCATCTGAGAACTGTCCCAAGCAAGTTTTAGATGTGGGTATTCTTTTATTCTAAAAATATTTAAATTTTTAATAATTATATATATTTATGAAGTACAATGTGATATTTCCATTCCCTAATAATATGATAATGATAAAATTAGGGCAACAGCATCTCCATCACCTTAAACATTTACCATTTCTTCCTGGTGAGATTATTCAAAATTGTCTCTTGTAGCTATTTTGATTTATACATTAAAGCGCTGTTAAGCATTATCTACCCAGCTGTAGCTATTTTGAAATACACAACATATTGGTGTAAACTACATCCACCTGCTGGGGAATAGGGCATCAGAACTTGTTCCTCCTGTTTGACTTTACCTTCTGTACCCCGTGACCAGCCTCCCGCATTCCTCCTCTCCTCAGCTTCTGGTAACTTCCATTCTGTTCTCAATTGCTATAAGATCAACATTGTAGATCTGCACAGGAGTGAGATCAAGCAGCACTTAGCTTTCTTTTCATGGATTATTTCAGTTAGCACAATGTCCTCCAAGCCCGTCCACACTGTCACAGTGACAGGACTTCATCCTTTTAATGGTGCGGTAGTATGCCTTGGCGTATGGATATACCCCATTTTCTTTATCCATTCATTGGCTGATGGGTGGCCCCTTGTTTCCATTTCTTGGCCATTGGGAATAGCACCACACTGAACACGGGAGGGCAGGTCTCTGACATACTGATTTCATTCCTTTTGGATGGAGAGCTAGTAGTACGACTGCTAGATCACGTGTATATATGTGGCGGTTCTATTTTTAGTTTTCTGAGGAACCTCCATGCTGTTTTCCATAACGGCTGTAATAATTTATATTCCTTTCAACAATGTCTAAGAGTTCCACCATGGGTATTCTTGGAATTTTCTCCTGGCCTAATAGATCTGCAATGGCTCCCAAGGCCTCCTGGGTTTGTAAGGCGACAGTCACAGGACGATACAGCTGATTTGCCGTTAGGAAGTGAGAGCTGCCCAGAAGAGGTCACTGTGGGCATGACCCGGAAGTGTTTATCTCACTTCCTTGTCATCCCTTGATTCTCTGTTTCCTGTTCTCATGACATGAACAACCCTCCCTGTGCCGTGCTGCTTCTTCCTGGAGCCAACCGACTGCACAAGCCCTGAAATTTCTAAAACAGGAGCCAAAATAAACCTCTCCTCTTTAAGTTGTGGACGTCCAGTATTTCATCCCAGCAAAGAGAAGTGACTCAGACCTATGGACGAGCACCCCTGAGAGGCGAATGACAGGCTTGGGGCACGCGCTCATTTTCTATTACTGCTGCAGCAAATGACTGCTGATTTGATGGCCTAAAACAACACAAATTCACTCTCTCACAGTTCTGGAAGTCCAAAGTCCAAACTTGGTCTCTCTGGGCTAAAATCCACGCTGCAGGCACAGCTACATTCTTTCTGTGGAATCCTTTTAACTTGCCTTTTCCAGCTTCAGGGCCCTCTGCATTCTTTGGCTTATCGCCCTCTTCTAGTGAGCCACACGGCTGGGCGAGCCCGTATCCACTACACCACTCAGACTCTCTTGTGGTCCTCTTGCATTGAGAAGGAGCTGTGGTCACACTGAGGCTACCTGGATAACCTGGGATGATATCCTTGTCTCAAGATCATAAATTTAATATCCGTGAAGTTCTTTCTGACAAGCAAGGCAATGATGATCAGATTCCAAGAATTAGCATGTAGACTTATTTTAGGGGCAAACTATTCTGTCTGCCATGTGGGGTATTAGAAATCCTCGACCATGTTCGAGAAGGACGGTTTTCCAAATGAGTGCATCAGTTCACATCCACACCAGCAGCGACTGTCGCCCTACATCTTTCCTAGCACTTGGTTGTGTCAAACTTGGACATTTTGCCAGTGCTGGCCTCTGTAGTCTGTTTCCTAGGGAAATGCCGCGGGGAGGTGACAGTTTCCTATTATCAGCCACAGACTGAGTCCCCACGTGAACTGACCCCTGGATCCATACGCCAATACCTGCCTGGCTTTTCAGCACTGCCCGCCATAGTCTGATCCCAACTGCCACACTCCCGACATTCTAGATATTCTACTGGGCCGCTGGCTATGCTGTGGACTTCAGCACTTCCCGGTGCTAGAGTTCTTCTGAGTCCCTCCTGCCTGTCCTGGGCTCTTGGCCACATCTGCTGGCGTCTACTTGAATGGTACTAGTGGGAGAGGCCCATGTGTCACCCTAAATAAAAAGCCCCCTGCATCAGGATGGCATGTCAGCTGCTCCATTGGGTATGACCTTGATGCTGTCACCCCAGCCTTACATTAGTGAGAACACCGAAAGTTCATGAAGCCAGGGAAGTGGAGGTCATCTGAGGGGTAGATTCAAAGTTTCTTGGGGATTTCAAGATCTAAGAGAGCTGTGAAAGGCACAGGAAACAGCAAAAAATGTATCTTCCTGATTGTAAAGGCAATGCCAGCACCACAGCAAATTTGCCTTGAAGACATCCTCTGAGGATGAGACATGTTGGCACCTTGTCCGCAGGCTCAGTGTTTACTGGGCACTATCGCTGCCTAGGTGAAAGCCCAGACCTAGAGGGATGCTGGGATTCACTTTTCACCAGCTCTGATTTCAAGACTCCCAGTTTCAATTCTCCTTTATGCACTGGAAATTTTCAGCACGGGCACCATGCCCAGTGTAACAGCAAACAAAGCGGATGTGTTTTTCCACTCGCTTTGCTCAGGAAGTTTCATACGAAGCAGTTCAGTCATTGCACAAGAAATCTCCTTTGGATGCTCGAAGAGTCTCTCAGATTGACTGACACTGGAGAGATCACCTGTCCTAAGGGAAACCAATGCCTGAACATCAAACTAGCAGAGACAGCCTTTCCAGTCTGCAGGCAGGAAGCTTCCCATGAAGCAGCTGAGGAAAACAGCAGCCAAAGGGATGAACAGAGCTCGCCCTGATTCTCCTGCTGGAAGCGGGGTGCTTGCCCTCTGCCCACCGGAGACTAGGAGTCCATTCTGAACAACACTGGGATGGTCTTGCCAGGGAGCCATACATAAATCACGCTAGAGGGCTCCCTTAAAAGTGGCCAGGTGTTCAGGGAGTGGTGTGAGTGAGTAAGAGCAAGGGGCTGCCCTTGTTGGCCGGAGTGGACAGTGAGTATCTGGCTAGGACGCAGGCTCCCTCCCCCATCCTGATGCCCCCACACACAACTTTTTCCTGATCCTCATGCTTCAGCCCAGCTGTTGCCACTGTCACTGAACTGCTCTTCCCTGTGCTCAGGCAGGAGTGGATCCACCTCTTCCATCCTCATAGCCTCACGGCAGCCTCCTGTGTGGCTGCACCACTCACTCTTGGTTTAGGTGACTGGTACCTCCTTTCTCCTCTGTGGGTGGCTGTGAGGATCCCGAGGTCGGGGACAAGCTCACCCCTCTGTGTATTATAATACATCAGGTCCCAGCCTGCTAGACCAGAACCTGGCCCCTCTGTGTGGAGGGCAGGGTGGAGGAGCTCAGAGCAGCAGTAGCAGTGGGGGGCACAGTGCACCTCGACTTGTCCCTTTTTTGTTTTTACTTTTTTCACTTTTTCTTTTTGAGACAAGGTCTCACTATGCAGTTCAGGCTGTCCTTGAGCTCACTTTGTAGCCCAGGCTGGTTTCGAGTTTGCAATGATTGCCCAGCCTCAGCCTACCAAGTGCTGGGATTACAGGCGCGTGCCACCATGCCTGGCCCCTTGCCTTGAGGTGACCAGGAAATTGTAAGCTTAGGGGCCCACAGCCAGCCTGCTCAGTGCTCCAAGTTGACATAAACACCCAGTATCTGTGACACCATCCTGGCTCACCCTTACTGGGGGAAGGAATATTGTAGTCAGTGGTGGCGAGAATAAAGATCTGTATTTCAAGGGTTACTGAGTGAGATCCACCTGTTCGTCCTCCCAAAGGCACACATACAGCCAGGGTGAGCAGTGGGCATTTCCCCCCAGTCTTACACAGTCAGCCTCTGGGGCTCACAGGTTCAAGCAACCGCAGCTCATTACAGTCTAGCAAAATTGTATCTGTGTGCACACCTGTGGGCTTTCTTCTAGTGCTTGTGCCCGAAGCGATACAGTGTAGCAGCCATGCACGTAGCATTCACATGGCATTGGAAGTCACCCAGAGATGATTTAGATTATACAGGGGATGTGCACAGGTTTTATGCAAGCACCACGCTGTTTTATGCTAGGAACTCGAACATCCATGAATCTTGGTATCCTTATGGATTCTTAGAACAGATGTTCCAGGGATGGAGAGGTACTACAATATTTACAACCCAAACCCTGAAAATTAAGAATCATCTTTGGGCAGACTTGGAGCCAGCGAAGCTGCCCGACTGTCTTGGAGGCTGAATGAGGGGCTCTGATAGTCCCCTGGTGCTGCTGGGCTGCACCAGTTGCAGTTTGCAGTATCCTATGCAGGTACAGGAGGAGCTGGATATTGGGCACAGGACAGTTCCTGTAGTGGCACCTCCACTTGGCCCTGACCCCAAGTTTGGAATTTCAGGCTCGCTCTTCCTGTGCTGCGTGACTGGCAGCTCACAAAGGGTCTTGAATGGTTCCCCCCAGCCAAACATCCCCTGGTACCTAACAGAGAAGGCTCAGGGTAGGAACCTTCCCTCTGCTGCAAATCCGGAGCTTCTCTCTGAATGCTCGCATACAGGAAGACGGACTTGCCCTGTCATCCTCAGCCCAGGAAAGAGCAACGTACCTTCTGGCCGTGGTTTTGGCTTTTCCAGCCCTCCATCTTGCATGAGCTCAAAGGCAAAGGAGACATTCAGGACCTGGCAAGGGAGATGTAGCACAAGGGTCATCTGTTGCACACACAGCCCAGAACCCCGGGGGTGCTGCACTGGGGGAAGGAGGAGGCCAGCACCGGAGATGGGGTGGGGGCTGAGCTAAGGAAGGAGAATATGCCCACAGAGATGGGCAGGCCACACTGGGCAGGCTTGCCGATCCCAGCCTGCTGCAGGCGGAGCATTCTTCTTGTCCTGCCCTGCCCCCGTGTTGATAGCCAGGACTTCAAACTCAGGGATGACGGAGAACCACTGAGACAGTGAGACATGTTCAGGAGGCGTTGGACCAGCTGCCTCCTGACCTGCAAGCAGGATTGAGAGGCTGACGGGAAGCCATCAGAATGAGACTAAGCACAGGCGTGGGGTCTGACTGGCCTTGTGGCCGCTGTCCCTGTCACCTCCATGGGGACAGATGAGGCTGGTCAGGTACTCAGCAGGAGCACAGGGCCAGGGGACCAGGGCAGCTTCTGGGGAGGGGCTGAGAGGGGCTGCTCATGGGATTGAGCCTGCCTCTGAACACTGGAGACCTGACGGGTGGGTGGCACCTGCCTTTTCCTGACCAGCTCAGTGTGGGCAGGGTGCTGGGTCACCACATGGGCTGGGCCTTCCTCCATGCTCCCCACCCCCTTACCTTCTGTTCAAAGCTGTCTGGAGTCAGGAAGAAGCTGTGTAGGGGCACAAAGTAGCCCTCCAGGAGGCCCATGAGCAGCACCAGGTATACACCATCTGCAAACTGCAGGGGACACTGGGTCTGAGTGATGGCACCAGACCTGAGTCCCAGCCAGGGGCTCACCGGCCACTACATCCCCACCCCAAAGGCCATCCCTGGCCTGTACTCTGCCTTGAGGCAGGGAGGTCTGCTAAGAGGAGCCACAAGCCTACAGCCCTGGGCTCCTTGAAAGCTCAGGTTACAGATTCATGATGCAGGCATGGGGACAGAGTCAGGTGCAGTGTGGTTCCTCTGTAAGAAGCTCATAGTCAGGGTGGCAGGGAACTGCGGCAGAGGCCATGTGGTCATGGCTCTGAGGGTGAGAAGGTCACCCTGGCCTACTGAACGTGTCAGGGAGGCTTCTGGAGGACGGGAGCCCTGTCCACACAGGAAGGATGAGGAGGGGTGGAGCGAGCTAGGGCGGGGTGCAGGAAGGAAAGGGGATGCTCTAGGTGAATGAGCTGAGGCTACTGGGGTGACTTCCGGTTTCCGAAGAGAAACCGCTGGTGTCCTATGAGGCATCCTCCTTTCCTGTCTCACTTCCGTACTGCTTGGGAGGTACCAGTGGAGCTTAGGAGCTGGGCCTCTGGGGTCCCAGTTCTAGCCTCCTTCCTTGCTAGCTCTGAGACTTGTAATTTCTCTGTTCCTTTTTTTTTTTTTTTTTTAATTTACCATGGGCATGACACAGTAGGGCATCGTCTACCCCATCATGAGGACAAAAGCAGTTGACACACACAAAGTGCCTGTGAACTGCTTGCCACCTGGGCAGCGCTTAATAAATATTAACTCTTGCTGTGACCAGCTGGGAAAACAACAAGGCACTCAGGACATGACCTCAGCTTTTGCAGGCCAGGCAGCGTTGCGGCAGTGTGAGTGCTGTGGTACAGGTCTTAGAGCCCAGTCTCTTTCCGGGTGGCAGAGCCAGTCGTGAGACCAACGACAGGCCCTGGGCACAGGGGGCTGGGCTGAGCATGCTGTGGAAACTGTCCATGCTCCAGGTGTGGAGGCGACTAGAATGGTCGGAGGTCAGTACATAGCTGAAGTTCTAGAACCTTCCAGAAGAGGCTGGGCTACCATGGTGGCTGCTGACAATAGTTGCTGGAGTTCACAAGAGGCCAAATGTCCTGGCCTGAGCTCAGGAAGATTAAAGAACCTAGTCAGGAGTGCTGGCCTAGGGCTGGGGCTGACACCATGACCCGGGGCAACACCTTCCTACCTCCATGGGGCCCTTGGGTGGGTAGGGCCTGCGCCTGACTCATCTCACGCCACCCAGGGTGGACGCAGGAGAGCGGATCTCAGACTGTGTTGAAATCAATGCCCTCCTGCTGGGGGTCAGGCAACTAGCTGTGGCCAGAATAGGCTGAGAACAAAACAATCCCATCTGTGAGCCCAGGAGGGACCTTGGGTCAGGGGCAGGTGACTCAGAACACCACAGCCAGCCAGACCGCTCCCCACCTGCAGTGGCTAGCTCTGCCCTGTGGTGTGAACAGCAGGCAACAGCTACAGATATCAGAGCACCAGGGAATGACTCCCCTTGAACACCAAGGAGAAACTTCAGAGCCCATCTGAGCCCCACCCAGGAAACCCTTTTCCAGCATGTTCCTTATTTCCCAAGAGAATGTAGGAAGCTCATTCCAGAGTCTAGATACACATGGGGACAACTAGGGGAGAGATCCTGCAATTTCCCTTCCAAAAGATGAGAGGCACCCACGTACTTGGAAGAAAACAGAAACTTGGCCAGAATGAGAGGACATGGGAATTGGGGTACACGGTACCAGGGAGTAGTTTTTAGGGCTGGAGATGTGGCTCAGTGGTAGAGCAAAGCCCTGGGTTCAATTCCAGCAACACCCACCCACCCACCCCCACACACAATTGTTAAGCATAAATATAGATAGGGATTAACAGGGACTCTATTTTAGGTTCTAGTCAGGAAATGGCATGGGGAATCACCTACATGAGGCTATCAATAATGGAGCTAGCAGGCATGAATGCCATCATAGGAGAGATGCTGAGATAGGCACAGTGTCACCTCGGAGGGCTGCTGCTGAGATGTCATCATGAGGGTGGAAGCCGAGGGACGCTCTATAAACCAATGAGCCAGTGCTCTTCAAAAATGTTAGCCTCCTGCCGGAAGGCCGAGTCATTCTAAATTAAAAGAGGCTGAGGAGACACGATAGTGAGTGGCAGGTGGGCAGCTGCCATGACAGGAGAGTTTTCGCCAACCATATGCAATGCTGCCACAGCAGTTCATTAAAACCAGCCACACAGCCAGGTCTGAAACCTCAGCTTCCCAGGAGGCAGAGGCAGGAGAATCAGAAATTCAAGGACACTACCTATCGAAGACTCATATAATTCAATCTAGCAGATCAACAGGTTGCATCAATGTCAACTGCCTACGTTTGATAACCGTGCTGTGATTGTCTAAAGGGTTATGTCTATTCTTAAGAGAGGCAGGCGAAATATTTAGGGATGAGGGAGTGTGGCCAAATGCTGACAGCCATGCAACAGTGAGGAATGTGAGTGTCAACTCCTAGAACTTTTCAACTCAAACAGCTGGGGACGATCCAGAGCGGTTCCAGCCAATTCAGTCCTGTGAGCTTCTGGGAGAGGCCCCAGTGGCTGTGGGGCTCAGTGCGCTGCCACCCACCTGGGTTTCTAGTTCCGTGACCTCTAGGTTCAGCTTGTTCAGGTGTTTGTTCACAAATGTAATCAGCGTCTGAAAACATCACAGGATATTGAGAATAAGACCAAGGCCAGTGCTATATGGGAGGCTGCCCTGGAGCCTGTGAGGACAGCAGCCCACGCAAAGATCTGGGGCTGGTGGGCTCTGCCTTGGTGTCCCGAGTGGCCGGTGGTTGAAGGCAGACAAGATAAATGATCAGCTGGATCCCTCCTCCCATCCCCTTCTTTGCGGGCACAGCTGCCCAGGCTGGGGACAGGCGGGAGGATGGTGAGGTGGGCATCGGTGGGCAAGGAGGGGGAGTGGGAGACTCCCTGCTGAGAGCGGACAGGTGGGTGAGTATCTGGGACCCTGTGTTTGCAGGGACGGGATGTCCTAATGTCCTGCTGCACCCCACCACCTTCACCCCCTCCAGGCACCTCATTCTACCTTTTTCACCACGTTGAGTTTGTCTGGCGCGTGGTCAAACAAGGTGTCGAAGGCATCGCGTTCTGAAAGAGGGAAGCAGCATATGGGAGCTCACAGGAGGGGCTCATGGTGGGCACGCCCAATATCTCCAGACCACGAGCCTTCAAAAGCGCATGCACAGCCACCATGGGCATGCACTGGGGAGCAGGGGCTGCTGGGAAGTTGGCCCTCTGGGACTGGGCTGATCTGATCTGGATTCTTCCCCATGCGATTTTTTCTGTGTGTCAGCCCTTGTCTGGGCTGCGACAGGAGCATTTGTCAGGAGTGTGGCCTGGGATACATCCTGTGTCCTCGCTGCGGCTATTCTACTGTGTCACGATGTAGTCATTGTTCTAAAGTACTCCTGATGCTCTCTGGAGGCAGACTGTTATGGGAACATCCAATCATGTCACCCTCTAATTTTGTAAAACAGGGGAGCCAAGACCAGCACCCTAGCAGAGGGGAGACATGAGCACAGGGACTCGGTGCGCTCCAGGACAGACCATGAGCGCTTTCTCCTGCGGGATGACCTGGGTCCTGCCAACACTTTGTGCCTCAGTTTCCTGGTCTGTAAAGCATCATTTGAAAAGTGCATTTCCCCCATGTTTGTCACGAGAAACGTGCTCGGGCTCTGTAAATTCTGACGTGCTCTACCGATACGCACTGTTTCTAGTATGATTAAAATATTTCAAAATATTACCTGTAGTGAACATCAGGCTACTAAAACAGCCAGGTCACACTTCCTGGCGGGATGCTTAGAACATGCACATTGGCCACATTCTCAGAATCAAGGGGTGGAACTGAGGGGGCTGGAGGCAGGGCCGGGTGGGTCTCCAGCCTAGGGTACAGGTGCTGTTAGGCGTCAGGGAGCTTCCCTGGAGTCAGGGGTTCTTCCTCACTGTGGATATCATGACATAGGCATGGTTCTAAAGTATCACTGAAGCTTTTTGGAGGCACAGGGTGATCTCAATATTCAATCGCTTCACGCCCTAATTTTTAAAATTAATTCTTTGGTACAGCGTCTCAATGTGCAGCTTGGACTGATAATGACTCTCCTGTCTCAGCCTTCCCAGTGCTGGGATTACAGGCGTGCGCCACCACAACCACTTCCTGGGCCCAGACGGCATGTGGTACCAGGGATTAAACCCAGGTCCTTGCACTTGCCAGGCAGATGCTTAGACCGCCAAGCTATCTCCCCAGCCCTCACCCCCTAAATTATTTATTTATTTATTTTTTCACCCCCTAATTTAAAAAAAATGGGAAAGCCAAGACAAACATGCCGATGGGCAAAGCAGATGCGATTAAAAAGGTAATCTCTGACATTCGGGCCCTAGAAAGTCCAAAGGCCCAGGAAAAGGGAGAGGCAGGAGCAGCGGTTGAGGGAACAAAGTGCGGGGGGCGGGGGATTTCCTGAGTGTGTTCAGGCACTGCTTTCTGTGTTTCTACAACATGCACAGGGCAAAATGGTCCTGCAGGCACCAGAACAGCACCGGTGGAGCAAGACGCTGCATCCAATTGGTCAGCTGTCCCCCTCCACCCAGCCAGCCGCGTCACAGGGCTGGTGTAGTGTCAATATTCAGGCAGCATGCTTAAAGCCTGCTCTCCCAGGTGCTACACAGGTAGCCGGCCCCCGCCCGCGTGCAGTGCCAGGTGACAAACTCATGCGACTCACCGTGCCTTCCGGAAAGAGCCCTGGAAGAAGACAGAAAGAGAGTGACATGGCTGTGCTGTGAGAGGACCCTCCGTCAGGCTAGGAGCCCGCTCCTCCCTCCTCCCTCCCTGCCACCAGCCCATCCTTGGCCAAGGGGCTCAAAAAGCCTCCTTTGCTTGGCATTTTAGCCTGCGCTGTCTCTAAATATTGAGACCTCACTACACGGCCACCTCTTTCTCTTGTCACGCAGATACACTGAGACGAACAAAGTCTGGCATGATGATACTCCACAGATTATTACTTTTCATATTACATAAACACATTCTTGCTTGCAGTTAAGAAAGAATACCAGACATGGGCTGAGGGGTCCAAACCAAAGAATTAGGATTCTTTGGAGCAGAGATTAAGCACCCCAACCTGCGTGGAGCTTCCCTGCTGAGGTTGCTGTTAGCACCTGCCTGGGGAGGTCAGCTTTGTGTCTCTGCCTATCCTGTCCCCAAGCTGAGCTGCCATTGATACCAGACAGGTTTCTTTCAAGGAGGCAGGAATGGAACCACACTTGTACCAGAGAAGGGGTAAAATCTTATGAACATACACATAGAAGCTTTTGCATAAGTAGCTTAGTTTTAAATCCCACTGACTCTTTTAATTAATTATTTTTTTGTCTGTCTGACCTGGACCTGGACAAACTACTGAATCCTCCCAGGCTCAAGGTCTCATTTTATCTCCACAGTGAAGATGATAGTGGTCCTTGCCTCAGTTGGACATTATGAGTCCTAAAGACCCAGAAAACTTTTAGCATTAAAGAGTCACAATGTTTTTTGCTTCTCAATATCTTGTTGGTTCTCATCATTCTTACAATTGTGGTCTAGCCATCTGGTCACCAATCACATAATAAATAGCACATAGAGCTCTGGGAAGAATCATGACCTTGGAGTTAGTTGGTAGACAGAGCAAGCCCTGGGCAATGGGGCTTTGAGGGTATATATATATATATATAATCATTCCTTCACAGGTTCAAAATGAATATCAGTAGATCCAAAAGCACTTGAAACTCAGGCTGCGCTGCCACCCATTTTATGTCCTTGCAGTAGAGGTGGCCGAGAGGAGGAACACAGAAAGTAGGATGTGTGGCCAAGAGACGGCTCTGGATTGGGAAGCCTTGTATGCCTTGATTCAGGAGATTACCCCAGCCACGCTCTTCTTTGGTCTGCCTTCCTCTTGTCTGAAAGGTCAAAGACTGGGCTCTAATACACATGGCATGGGGTGGGGAGGGAAGGGTCAGGACGCTGAGGAATTCTGTTGTTCTGTCCCATCCCAGCAAGCCTGATCCAGGGCAGCTTTGCTCCCTCCAGACAAGGCCAAGATTCTGTGTGCCCTGTGGAGCAGGTGACCCTCCAATCCCCAAGACAGGGCCTTTGAGCAGGCTGTCTGATGGGGTCTTGGGAAGGACCACACACATGGCTGCCCCTTATGCCTGGCCTGAAATACCCAACTCCAAGTGTCTTCGTAAGACACGACCATGGTCTAGACAGAGTCCGAGACTTTTGTCAGCCATGGCTGGAGGTGGAAGGGAGCTTGCCACTGAAGGCAAGGCTAGGAGTGGGGCAGCTACGATGGGGAAAGCAGGACAGCCATAAAGGACAGGGACAGGAGGAGAGACCTGACACTACAATAGATCCTCACCTTTCTCTGGGTTAGGAAATGCTCTCCACTCAAAGATGAGCGCGGAGGCTGAGGGGCCCAGGGACTTGAGGCAGGCCAGCTCTTCCCACTGTGTTGGCTCTTACTCAAGAGCAACACAGAAGAAAGCTGGGTTGACTAGGAAGACTGCAGAGGAACCTGGCCTGATTTTGTGGGGGGCCTGGGCTGGGGGGGGGCACACACCCGCCTGCTCTTTCTGCCGAGGAACAAAACTCTGGCTCTCCACAGCAAGCCTTTTATATGTCCTGATCCTCTAATTTCTACAGGTAGTGGGGAATAGAAAGCACCTTAAACCAGCAAAACCCAAAAGATAGCTCTTAGGTAGAGGGGGACTTTCTGGGCTATGGCACGTGACCAAATAAATCAGACTCAGAAAAGGAAGAAAACGTCCTTTTGAAGGTTAACAATTTAAATTCCAGCCCATGTTTATGGCATGACGATTTCATGCTGGTTGGCTTTTTTGGGCATGCTTTTTTCCTGGAGTGCCACAAAATTAGAATTTTTCAATCATGGTTAATTCCCCTCTCCCCACTTCCCCACCCAAGTTTGTACCTTAAGCATTGAGAGGCATGTTTTGAATGCATGGAAAAGGCTAAACTCTAATCATTGGCTGCAGTCTAATCCCTCCTGCAATCCCAATAAATGAAAACTAAATATCAGCAAATGGATGAATTTCAGAGAAACATCTGTGTTCCATTACGGCCTCGCTGGCAACAATAGTGTTGACATACTCTGTGTTACCAGTTATTTCCTCTTGGATTTGCCGAGACTGGAGGATTCCTTCTCGTTTCTGAAGTGGGGGCGGGGAGAGGGGTTGGGAAGAGAAGAGAAAAAAAATGTTTTATAAAAATGCAGAAAAAGTGATTAGCATTCCCGACCTTGAGAAAGTGACCTGTGTGTGGTTAAGAAGCGTACTCAACGATGAGATAACGCGAGAAGGGAGAAGAAGCCCCAAGTTTTGGGGGCCTGGGTTGTACCATTAGGACTTCAGGACAGTTAGTGTTTAGGCCAAAGAAGTAGGCTGTTTCTTGGCCGGTGAGTCTCTCCTTGCTTTATTGGAAGACACTGTGTTGGCAGCAAGCGCTGGCCTCCTGGAGTAACCCACAGTCAACCGAATGGAAATGAAGGCCAGGGTGTGTCTGCCCTCCAGCTGGGGCTGCAGAGGGAGGCTGGGAAACACTTCTAACTGGCGGGGTGGATGGAGGAACTGAGGCCAACTTGGAGAGCTCAGACAAAGGCAGAAGGATTTTTTTTTTCCTTTTTCTTTTTCTTTGGTTTTCAACCGATAAATCCAGGAGCTTTTGTGTAAGTACAATCCTCACTGCGGTACCTGCCCAGCCAGCTGGCCCTCCTTCACCTGCCCACCCCACTCCCCTCCACCCATGCTTCTTCTTTATCTCTTCTTTATCTCATTAAGAAGCACCTTTTAAGTACAGGGCCCTGTGCTAAGCTGGAACAAATACTGGGGTGCATAGGATACAGTTTCAGGTCCCGAGGATCTCAGAGTAAAACAGCAGAGATGAAGTCAGCCTGGGAGAATGGCTTCCCCTAAACACTCCTGGTAGTGCCTGATGGCCTGACTTAATGGTTAGTAGGCCCCTCTCTCTCACTCTCAAAAGTGCTTGTGGGTAATAAGTGAGGTGGTCACTCTCTGCAGAGAGGGTGTCCTGGGCCCAGGACAGGGGTGTACTGGGCAGGGTGTGGAGGGAGACCTTCCAAAGGGATGGGGTACTAGAAAGGGAACTTGGAAGGAAGCTAGGGAGTGACCCTGGCCAAAAGGCAGGGCCAGCATAGCATGAATGGGTGTATGAGGCGATCTGGAGGGAAAGTGGCTGCAATGGGCATCCCCGAGGGCCAGTTGGGAGGGCCGTGCCTCTTCGTGGGGTCAACAAAAGAGCACCAGGGTCGGAAGGCCTTTCTGATGGGGCCAACAAGGAGGTCCACTCTACCAGGCCCCCACAGAGCCAGCCCCAGAGCCTTACAGGACAGGCGGACTTGGCAGCCTGGGGGACGTGGGGGTGAACTCGTCTTCCCAAGGCTGAGATGAGTGTGAATGAAGAAGGGGTCTCTGAGAGTGGCTCAGCTGAAACACTGAAAGCTGGAGGAGCCTTCCGAAGCTCCTGCCTAAATGTCCAGCAGAAAGCTCCTCACATCCCCGAGAGCCAGAGACATGCGCATTCTCTCCCACAGCGCTTTTAGGGCACCTGCTGCTAGGCTCCAGGCACCGCAAGCAGGTATGCAAAATGGAGCCGGCACATACCCAACGCCCCTCTATGCACTCTAACGCTCAGGGGATACCCTGGGTCATCATGTACCGCTCCTGGGATGCCTCTCCTCTTAGATCTCATACAGTGCTTCTTGGGTCCTGTTAATGCTGGATTTCCAGTGGGGCTCTTCTACCTCAACCCCAAGTGCCCAGCAAGACCCTGACATTGCTGAGTTCTGAGATCAGACCAGCCTGCCCTAGCCCTACACCCAGCCACTCCATTCAAGTATACAAAGAGGTACAGAGGGAAAAGCAGTGCGGGGTGAGGCCAAGACTACTGGGAAGAGATGAGGGATGCATTGCCAAGGCAAAAGAGGAGCCAGGGAGAAGGACAGCTGAAGGGAACCAGGAGAAGACCAGTCAGGACTTGGTCCACACGTGCATTCTCTACATGGGCCTGATGGAATCCCTGTCTTGTGAGGCCATTCACACACATAAAGCCTCATCTTCAGGCTTTTAACGCAGAATTAAATCTTTGCATATGGAATGGAAGTGAAATTCGGTTCCAACAGCACCGCCCAGAGCATTCTGACTCCCCGGATTGTCCTTTGTGCCCCAGGAAATTCTTACTACAGCTCCCTCATGGCTTCTTGCTAGTGCTGGGCCCTGCTTCTATGCCTGTTCATCTGATAAAGCAAAATGCCCCGTAATACTGAACACACGGATGCCACTTTATGGAACGCACCCTCATTCCCCACGTCCTCACGCAAATAAAACTGCCCACAGAGGAACTGAAGCCAACAACAGCCTCCGGTGGCCTGAAACTGAGCTCGAAATCAGGCTTGGGAGGGAGCTTGCAGTGAGCACTGCCTCAGAATAGCCCCCCATCTCCCTGCTCAAATCTTCCACCCATTTGTAAATTCTTGTGTATAGAATTCTGAGAGGCATAGGTTAGGGTGACAAACAGCTGTTTGCTCAAGGCAGTAAGAAAAATACTAAGATGTTCAATAAATTAATGAACAAAGAATCAAAATGGACTGTCAGAAAAGAGAAGCATTGAAAGGTTAGTTTGCAGAAAAACATCCCTCTCCGTGGGTAAAGAGAAACATGCCTGAAAGAAATGACAGTATGTTTACCCACGGAAACTGAAAACATTTTTCAACGTTAGTGACAACCAAAAGTATTCTTTCATGAGCTGCTCCAGGAATTTTTTTTTTTTTTTAAGACTACTTTTTAAGAGCAGTTCCTCGTTCACAATAAATTGGAAGGACGCGGAACAGCTTTCACCGAGGGACCTGCAGCGACATGTCACTGTCGCTCGAAGCCTGTGGTTATGTCAGAGATCACTCCCAGTGGTGCCCATTCCACAGCTTCGGACAGAGCCCTCTGCTACTGCAGTGTTGCACGCGATCGTTTCACTGCCCTAAAGCCCCCAGTGCTGTACTATATGCCTTCTTCCCACCTTGATAGCTTTTAAAAAACTGAACTACGTGGATTCACGTAGCATTGGCTGGTAAGGCTAACAGAACGGGGATGGCCTGGGTTACTCAGGAAGATGCGGGCCCCAGGATGCTGGGTTGGCTGCGTTGCCAGAGCAGCCAGAAAGGAGAGCACGGTGCCCAGTACAGGTGAAGGGCTCGGTAAGCCCAGACAGTTGGACCCTGCCAGCCAGCGGCACTTCGATTCTGAGCTCTGCAGTTTCACGTTGTCTGCTCACTGCCCCCTCTGCTTCCTACTTACCATCTGGGCCAAGGGGTCATCTTCCTCCTGGATTCACTCCATGGTTAGCAGAGTTCAATACCCACATGGTGAGGAAGAAATACTTCTTCACTAGGGCACGACTGGTCAATCAGTTGGGAGCACGTTGTGTCCTCCTACCAGTTAACATCTGATCTCTGAAAGCTCAGCTCCAAGAGCTTTTGGCCTGCAAAGTGGCCTGGCCAGATCAGGCAAAGTTTATGAGCCCTCAGGGCTTTCCCTCGTGCAGGGAAGGCAGAGCTGCTGTCTCTTCCTCTATTCCAGAACCCTGGACAGCCCTGGAGAGCCAGGGAGCTGCTGCTCCAGAGAGAGCTCCCTTGTTGCCTGTTTATTTGGAAAAGCACAGAAACAAGCAAACAAAATGATGACCTTTCGCTAAATGGGCATAAAGCTGGAAAATAAAATTGCATTTGAGTATTTAATGGGGTCAGGAGCAGAGTGAAATAGTCACGGGGAGGGAGGGCACCCTCATTGTGGAAATTACACAGCCCTATGAGAATGGAAATTCCATCCAACAATCTGGAAACATGGACTTGGGCTCCAGCTGTGACCCGCTGGGTGGGTGGGTGGGCAAGCAGCAGCAGCCTCTCGGCCAGGCATGGTCAGTTGGGGGTCTCTCTGTTCTACAAATACATGTATGTGTGCACCCCCCATGCACACACATGCATGAATGCTCCCTTACATGTACATGTAGCTACCTCTCCTGATACCAATGCATCATTTATTAATCCCCCAAATTATGACTTTCCATGGCTTACAGGGTGCCCTGCACACTCCTGTATACAAATGCATATGCGCATGCACACACACACACACACACACACACAACCTCCTAGCCTCACTAGCCATCCATATGTCATAAACATACAACACATCCTCCACTATACAGTGCACGTTCTCCAACAGAAGCATAAACACACTAGCTACAACCTCACACAAAGCTACACAATGTGCAAACACACTTTTCACGCACTGCACGCTTGTCAAGGATCAAGCAGCATTCCATAGAAGGCTGGCTCACAGGCTGCACGACGCACAGCACACCCAAGCGCACTGAGTGTTCACTCAGCTATTCTTCAGCCATCTAACCTAGTGTCCTAAATGTCGCAGGAACTCAGGACCTGTAACACCTTAAAGGTGCACCTGTGAGCTGTGGTACGGTCTTACCTGGACCACAACCACCTGGATGGAAACGTGGTCTGGGAGTCGGATGGGTGCCCGGAAATACTGAGACAAGGCAACCAGCAGATGCAGGATGGCCACAAGGCTCTTGGCATGAACAGCTGAAAGGGAAGAGGAGTGCAAAATTAGGGCACTTGGTGCTAGGCTCCAGGCACCGTAAGCAGATATGCAAAACGGAGCCGGCACATACCCAACGCCCCTCTACTGTACTCTAACACTCAAGGGATAACCTGGGTCATCATGTACCCGCTCCTGGGATGCCTCTCCTCTTAGATCTCATACAGTGCTTCTTGGGTCCTGTTAATGCTGGATTTCCAGTGGGGCTCTTCTACTTCAACCCCAAGTGCCCAGCAAGACCCTGACATTGCTGAGTTCTGAGATCAGACTAGCCTGCCCTAGCCCTACACCCAGCCACTCCATTCAAGTATCCATGAACACGTCTGCTCTGCACCCTCTCCCTCCCCTCCTGACTGGAGATCCGAGATTATCAACACTTCCCCTGCCCAACTGTTCACAAAGTAGACCCTCAAACATGGACAGTAGCTCAGAAACACGGGGCCTCTCCCTTGCTTGGGGCTTCAAGGTCCCTCACATCCATCTAAAGGGCTTCTGTGCTCCCTTGAGTGCCTTAAGAGGGGATGTCCAAGATCCACTGCCCTCCACCACTGCCAGCCCCTGTGCTGAATGTTACGCCATTTTTGCTAGGGAAGGCTGCGTCCTCTTGGGTTGTGGTTTTCATGGTAGATGAGAAAAACACTGACTTAATGAGGTGCATATGGCATCAGGAAGCCTGGAGATTGAATTCTGACTTCATAATTCTGCCATTTATTTATGAGCTACCTGACTTTAGAACTCTTCCATTGATTCACTGGCTACTTGACTGTGGCCAGAGTGAGCTACTCGAGGGAATGACAGTGTCTATAAGGAGGCACAGATTGTAAGAATTTCCCAAGGTAACCAAGGTAATAATAGTATAAACTAATCTGAAAGCACCTGGCACCTAGGCTATTAAAATTGCCAGTGCTCTCCCTTTTTCACAAAAGGGACAATCTGCCTTTATGGGTCTATGAGCATCATGGCTCTTTGTGGCCTAGGACGCCGAAAGGAAGAGGCTGGAACACCCCTTCTGAATACTTGGAACTCACAGCCCATGGTTAACAGGTATCATTCTTTTCGTTCCCTGGGACATGTGGGTTAGTCTGCGTTAGCTGAATCTTTGAGAAATCACTAAGAAGGGGAATGATTCAGACATTCCTCTGGCATCCATTCGTGTTTCTTCTTATCATTGCTGCTTCAAAGAAGGCTTTCTGGGGCCGGCAAGATAGCTCAACAGTCCAAAGCGCCTGCTTAGGCAGTGCAGCGACTGCAGTTCGATCCCGGCACCAGCCCCGCCCCCTGGGGGGCCTGAGCCAGCCGCCAAAAAAAAAAAAAAAGAAGGCGGTTTTCTGTTGATGAGCAGTGGGAGCTCAATATTACCACCAAGCAGTAGATGACAGCTCTAGATGCCCTTCTAGAAGCTTCAGTTCACGGCACTGTCAACCAAATAAGACCTATAGCGGCAGTCTCAAAAAGAGAAACTTAGATAGCTCAGCAGACTAAAGCGCCTGCTTAGGCAGAGAGCAGCACTGGGGGTTGGATCCCTGGCATGCCATGCCGGCCCCGCCCCCAGAGCCCGCTGAGACGCCAGTTGAGACTGGGAGTGGTGATGTACGCCTGTAATCCCAGCGCTTGGGAGGCTGAAAACAGGAGGATCACTACCAGTCCGATCTGTGTAGTGAGACCCTGTAGACTCTGTAGATCCTGCACCAAATACATTAAAAAAAAAGAAATAAAAAAAAGGAAAAAAAGAAGAAGAACTTGACCGGGGATGCAGCCCCATGGTAGCTTAGGCACCTAGCACATACCAGGCCCTGGATCCAACCCTGGGCACTGCATAAACCAAAGCAGCAGAAGGTTGGGACTGACCCACTGACACAGCAGGGGCATTGAGGGACAGAGGCAAAAGCCAGTTTGTTCTTCTGGTCAGAACTGACATGCTGTTCCTAGGCCTGTTCTTGAGGCTATAAGCACATTGTACATACACACACATGCGCGCACACAAAGACGCTAATTAGTGTATTAAGACATTATCATTAAAAACACAAACCTGGAAGACACAAGATTAGTCCCAAAAGGGGGGTTTAGATCAGTGGCTTTCAAACATTCTATTTTCAGTCAAGCTCATAGGTAGAACTCATGAAAAAAATACATGACAAGGAAGGTCCTCGAGCCCTAATTGCAACGTGCTCACGGCTGCTTCGCTCCCCAGTGATGCCTGATTTTCTCCTTGCAAATCCCTGAGGGACCAAGCATGGTTTATTTTATGCTTGTTTTGAGCTCAAGGTTTTTGTGCTGAGCCCAAAAAAAAAAAAAAAAAAAAAAAAAAGAAAGAAAAAAAGAAAAAAAAAAAAAAAAAAAAAGTGCTCAGTACTTTTTTTTTTTTTTAAGTTGCCCTAGCTGGGCTTAAACTTGCAATCCTCCTGCCTCTACCTCTCAAAAGTACTGGGATTACAGATGCACTACCACATCTGGCAAGCATGGTTTAATAATTACTGCTTTCCTTGGGGCTGGGGAGATAGCTTAGTGGTCTAAGCTCCTGCCTGGCAAGCGCAAGAACCCCGGTTTGATCTCTGGTACTGCGTACTGTGCCAGCCACTGAAACTGGGTGTGGTGGCACGCACTTGTAATCCCAGTGCTGGGGAGGCTGAGACAGGAGGATCACCATGAGTCCGAGCTGCATAGTGAGACCCTGTACCAAATAAATAAATAAATGATTAAAAAAATAAGCACTGCTTTCCAAAGTTATGGGACACCCACAGCATGGGAGGGTTACACACAATGAAGAATGTTTGTAAAAAATAATAAAAAAAAATGTTTGCTAGGCAAATGTTACAGATACTAACAATGTAATGTCAAAGGGAAACTGGGAGCAAGATAAGAATACACATTTATGGAGATGTGTATGTAGAAATAACACACGTGTGTGGGTGACTACATACACATACGTGTACACACACAAACCAATACTTGTGGCCAGTGCTTGGGAAAACATTTAAAAAATGAAAATAGTTATGCAAGTCTGGAAAGATCATTTAAGTGTGTTATCCTATTTCAAAATTTTCTGTAAGATTATGTATGCCAGTTTTTCAACTAAAAATTACGTAAGTGTCCCACGATCTGGCACCATCATCACTTCTGCCTCTCCCTGGAGCCCAGAGACCCCCCAGTGCTGGGTAGGGGGCGAGGCTGGTGGAAGAGCAGGCCCGGCTTCCTGGACACACTTGGTAGAGCAGCTGCTGCGCCCAGAGTGTCACTCCGGAGCTGGAAAACAGCTGAGTTAGAACTAGTCATCCAGGGCCGGTGAGATAGCTCAGTGGTCTAAAGTGCCTGCTTAGGTACACGCAGGAACTGCGGTTCGATCCCTGGTACCCTATGCCATGCCAGTCCTGCTCCCAGGGCTGGCTGAGCTGGCCACACACACACAAACAAAAAAAGAATAAAAAGAAATAATCATCTAAACATGTCCTGCAGTAGGAATGTACATTTTTGCAATATTCCAGAAGCAATTTAATGTTATGTATTATGACCTTAAAAATGTACATACGTTTTGGTCCTAAAAGACAACTCTTAGGTATTCATCCTAAAAGAGTATGGCTATCAGTAGAGAGAACTCATCAGGCTGGACTGATATTAAGCAAAAAAGATCTAAATATCTTATTAGTTATACAAATTATAAGCCATCTGACAATGTCATATATTAACATGACATAAACTGGATATTAACATGACACACTTACAATCCCATCACTCTTAGAGGCTCAGGCAGGTGTGTTACAAGTTTGAGCAAAGCCTTAGCAACTCAATGACTTAGCAAGACCTTGTCTCAAAATAAGAATAAGAAGGGGGGGCTGGGGAGATGGCTCAGTAGAATAAACACTTCCCTGGCAAGTGTAAAGGTCTGAGTTCAATTCCTGGTTCTAAAAAAAAAAAAAAAAAAAAAAAAAAAAAAAGAAGGGCTGGAGCAAAGGTACTATGTTCAATCTCCAGTACTGAGCATAAAAGGTGACCTATAAAATATTTAATGATTTACGAAGGCATGTTTTCCAAAGAACATATATAAATTTATTCTATTTTTGTAAAATTGTGCGTGTGTGTGTGTATGTATGTGTGTGTGTGTGTTTGTGTGTAGTCCCCCTTATCTGAGGTTTTCCTTTCTGTGGTTTCAGTTTCCCAAGATCAGCTCTTGTCCAAAAATATTAGTTGGAAAATTCCAGGAATAACAATGTGTAAGTCTGACATTATGTGCTGTTCTGAGTAATGTGATGTGTTCTGGAATCAGACTCTTGTCTAAGTTACTTTTTTCTGTTGCTGAGACAAAATACCCAGCTCCCAAAGTTAAGGGAGGAGACGTTTATTCAGCTCGTAGATGGTCGAGGTTTGGCAGGGTGGTGAGGCAGCGCGGGGATCAGAGGAGAAGCACCCCACAGCAGGGCAGACAGAAAGCAGCAAAGCAGCAAGGGCATGAGTACAGCTCTTTCCGGCCTTACAGCCTCTCCAGGCTGCCCAGGGCAGTTCACACTCACTCCCTTAATCCTAGTGCCCTTGATCGTAGCACGGCACCATGAATCAATCTCAAGGTCAAACACTGTAGATTTAGCCACCTCTGAAAAAGTCCCCACCTGTGACCACATGAGGCCTGGGTGGGGCATCCAGACAGAACTGTGACACCTCCTCTGTCCTGTGCAACATGTGAGTTGTCCCTTTGTCCTGCAAACCCATGCTGTATACACTTCCCATCTGCTTGTCACTTGGTAGCCATGTCAGTTACGAAATTGACAATCTTGGAGTCATGGTGCTGGTGTTATTTTATTTAACAATGGCCACAAAATGCAAAAAAAAAAAAAAAAAAAAAAGTGGTCCTGGCAATTCAGACAGCCTATGGAAAAGGAGTGAAGTGTGCTGTTTAGCCAGGCCTGGTAGTGCACACCTATAATCCTAGTACTCTGGAGGCTGAGGCAGGAGGATCACAGTGAGTTCAAGGCCAGCCTGGGCTACACAGTGAGTCTCTATCTACAGCCAACCAACCAACTAGCCAGCCAGCCCTCAGAGTGCTTCCTTTAAGTTAAAAGGTGAAAGTTCTCAATAAGAAAAAGAATCATATACTGAGATGGCTAAGATTGATGATAAAAATGAATGTTCTGTCCATGAAACAGAGAAAAAGATGTGTGCTACGTTCTCTGCTGCACATAAAGTGCAAACACTGCAGTCAGGATGTGTGATAAATTCTCACTTAAGATGGAAAAGGCATTAAAGTTGGGTCCGTATGGGCAGAAAAACCAGCACAGGTAAGATTCGGTGCTATTGGGGGCCAGGGAGATAGCTCAGCTCAGTGGAATAAGCACTTGCCTGGCAAGCGAAAGGACCTGAGTTCAATCCCTGGTTCTGAAAAAAAAAAAAAAAAAAAAAGATTCGGTGCTATCCCTGGCTGCAGGCATTCATGGGGCGTCTTGGAACCCATTGCCCTTGGAAAAGGGAGGGCTGCCATGCACAAGTGACACAGTGGTTTATGACACACACACAGCACACGTGAATTAACAGATCTCTGCAGTGGTGACAGTGCCTTCCCCGGGCAGCAGCTTCGGGCTGTGTGTGCAGGCTCAGCACACGGACTCTGCCCAGGAGCCCAGGGTCTGACTCCTGGCCCTGTTGTGGCCCTACTGTTCATCAGCTGCTTGCCTCTGGCCTGTGACAGTCCTTTAGCAGACACCACTATGCTGTGCATGTGCCAGGCACTCCTTCCAGCTCCAGGGATACAGCAGTGAAGAAACATAAGAATCTCCATCCTCATAAAACTGACATTTGTGACATCTCACTGTCCCTAGGCCTTGATTTGTCCATCCATAAAATGGGTAGTAAAAATTCTTCCATCAAAGAATTGCAAGGAAAAAAATATGTTGTGTTTATAAGCGCGCAGGCAGCCAGGAAACATGATAAACATTAATATTTTAATTTCTTGTATCTGCATTTTCAATAATAATGATTACTGTTATAAACAGAAAAAGAAAGAAATCCCTTAAGTACGAAATCAAAGTCCTTAGCAGTTCATTCCTGCCAACTTTGTCTTAAGCAGAAAGGTGACACAATGTCCCCAGACACACAGACAGCACGAGAACCGACAGAGGAGCGATGGACGGGGCTTCCCTGGGTGGCAACGGGCACAGCCCTCGGGACACGCTTCTGTCTCCTGTCCGCAAGCCCAGCCCTTCCCACTCCATGAGGTATCACAGGACTGTTGAGATATTTATGCCCTCAGACCTGGCAATTCAGCTCCATCCTAGAGGTCTGCGGGGAATAAGCCGAGAGAGGCGCAGACACTAGCTGGGCCACTCAGCTCCACGCTGTTGATATGAGCGATAGGTCGGAGAAGGTCACTAAAATGATTTCTGTCAACTGAGGCCTTAAGGCGACTCTAGGATATCGGCCCCATGATACAGAAAAAGTTATAAAAACTACAAAGACAGAGGCAGAAAATATGTACCATGGAATATTAAGAGAAAAATGACAATGATATCACTTAAGTAAAAATATGCATTAAAATGACCAAGGTGAAAAAGGGAAAATAGCTAGATTGGAATGCTAATATGAGTAGTTATTATTTTTTTAATTAATTTATTTATTGGATACAGAGTCTCGTTACACAGTTCAGACTCACAGTGATGCGCCTCCCTCAGCTTCCCCAGTGGTAGGATTACAGGCATGTACCACCACGCCTGGACTTGGGGCCAGGTGGCACAGCCAGGGTTGCAGGGCTGGCACGGCATGCGGTACTGGGGACTGAAATCTGGTCTTTGCTCTTGCCAGGCAGGTGCTTAGACTGCTGAGCTATTTCCCCAGCCCTGAGTAATTATTTTTCTGACATACACTTTCCTGTATGAGATTGCAGCAATTGTGAATGAAAGGCAACGTTCAGACCTGCATTATGACAAAGTTCTTGATGTGAGTTTGAAAAGTTCCATCTTTCTGTCATTTTTTCTGCAGCCTTTCCAAACTGGGGGTCACAGTACAGTGTCTGCCGTGCTGCGTCATGACATACAGAGCGGGGACCCACATGCAAGGGAACCAATGGGAAGCAGGGCCTCAGCACTGAGCAGGGCTCTTCCTTGGAGGCCTGCTAGCCTTAGGACTGCTGTGGATTTCCACAATGCACACACACTGTTCAAACTAGTGCCCCCCCCCCGCCCCCTAGCATGCTGATGTGTGCACTGAGGAACAAGAGCCCCTTTCCAAGACAGTCCTGGGGCCAGCCACGCCCTCCTCTCCTCTCCTCCCTCTCTCAGGGGTCTCCTCGGCTCAGCAGAGAACACCCTGCTCCAGCGCTGTGCCCGCAGACCTGTAATTATGCTGGAGGAGGTACATGGCGCCTGTACTTCAATGTCAGATGTGAGAAACCTGCAGGAAACCTTGCCGCTAGCGGCTGCTGGGTCACTAAGTTTAGAGGTGAAAATGTCTTTCACTTTCCCAAGTTTGAAAGTTTTTAGGGCAGGGCATCCACTATCAGTTATGTAAACTACCTGCAATAAATACACTACCTAATCCCTAAGACTTGAAGCAAACACACAGTCTAATCGTTTCATTTGTATTGTAAAAATTCATATTTTTATTCATTACAAAGGACTCCCTTTGGAAGATACACTGAATACGAGATTTCCCGACCCTCTGATTTAACGTTGACTGTGAGACAGACACATGAAGTGCGTGGTGGACACCAGGCCCTCGGGCCAGTCAAGGGTTAACGGCTTGGGTTTTGAGATTCAGGAGCTGTGCTTGCTGTGAACACAGAATTGAAAGATCCTGTTCCAGTGCCTGGGATCTCAGCCTACCTTTGCTCTTTCCAGCATATGCAGGAGGAGCTGCAAGGTGTGGGTTTTGGCCCTGGACCTATGGACCTTGGCTTCCCAAAGCCCTTACATACTGGAAGCAGCAGCTTTTTCAAAAGACTGCTGGGTCTCAGAAACAGCTCAATGAGTATGAGTCCTTCTGCTCCGATCCCCATGTGCAGTTTCTACAGACAGTCTTTTACACAAAGCGTACAAGACTTTGGCATTTTGCTTTTGCCCCCCCTAAGAGGATGTTGGGAAAATTCTCTTTCTGAGGGTGCATCTCACTCAAAGATAAATGCGTTTGCCTGGGGGCATGCCAGCTGAGGGATGGCTGCTGGGAGGAGCCGCAGGGGAGGAGCCGCGGTACCACGGAGGCCGCCTTCTCCTTTGGGCAACTTACAGTCCACATTCCACTTGATGTTCCGGGGCGGAAGCTTCAGAGTTTCATTGATTTTCTCCAGGACAGTCTGTAGCTTTTGCTTCTGGGCGATCTCTGACTGTGTGACCTCAGCGACATTTAGCTTCTCGCTCTCAAGTTTCTCTGGAGTGACAAAGGAAAGAAGAGAAAGAGCAGCTCTTATTCTGAGCCCCAGACAGCCCTAATTCACCCACCTGTTCACTCATTCGCTGCACTCACTTACCAAATACACCCCGTGGGCCCTCACACCCCTGTGGGCTGAGTCCCAGCAACTCCCGACAGTCACCCGAACCCAGGGATGCCCAGGTCCCTTATATAAAATCTGCGCGTGACCTGCGCATGTCCTTCTGTACACCTTATTATCTCTGGATTACTCAGCATACCAGAACAACATATGTGCTATGGTACAGGTTGTTACCCTGAGTCACTTCAGGAGTAAACGGCAAGCAAAAAAGTATGTGTGGATTCAGGACTGATGCAATTTTTCTTGGGTATTTTGACCCACAGTGAATCTATAGATGCGCAGCTCACAGATACGGAGGCCAACTGTGTTGGGCGCCTGCCAGAAGAGGGACTCAGGGCTCATCTGATGGTGGGACCAGTGGCACCAGTAGTGGGACAGCTTGTTGACTGTCTTGAACCTTCAGGGTCACAGGCGTGAGATGTTTCGCGTAGCCTGGCATATTGGAACTCTTCCATCATCCTGGGTTTTATTTTTTTCCTTTTCTCAATTCTACCTTTTCTGGGGACCCCTCTGCACCCCAGCTGGACAGCCTTCTTCGTTTCTCCTTGGCAATTGGTCAGGTCTTTATTCTGGGCACTTTTGTATACATATGTGTCATTTACTGTATCTGAATTAAGCTTTTTAAAAAATCTACCTGGAAGGTAATTCATTTGATGTGTCATACTTCATTAATATTAAGGCACACATGCTTCACAGGTTAACACCGCTAAATTCAGGCTACATCTTAAAACTGACAGCGTCCTACGGAGGTTGCCGGCCAGGTGGGACAGGTCAGCGTTATCACCACCACTGCCGCATCTGTGAATCCAGCTGGGGCGCTTCGTGGGACGGTCATTTCCATGTCTCCACAAGCTTGTAAGAGCATCTTCCAGGAAATACAAAATAATTCTAATCAAGGAAATGAAAAACCCCACTGGGCTTGAGGCTGGGGGTATAGCTCAGTTGGAGAGCACTTGCCTAGCGTGTGCAAGGCCGTGGGATCAAACCCCAGGACCCAGGGGGAGAAAGCCAAGGAAAAAAAAAGCATCGGGGAATGGTTCAATTGAAGCAATTTTGACACAAAATAGTCTAATCATTTACTAACCTAAATTTGCATTTCAGTCCATTATAAAGCACAAAACTCTGGTCTCCATAATGGAAAATATGTTACCTGCTTCTCAATTCACCTAACGCAATATACTCCACAACACACCCGGGAGTGACAGAACTGGTATGGTGAAGTGTGTTTAAAATGTCTTGCCTTTGCATTTTTAAGAGCTGCTATAGAAAAAAAAAGAAAGAAAAAGAAAGAAAAAGAAAAAGAAACTTTACACCTGTGGTTTCCCCAGAGCTTATACCATTTATTTTAGGTAATGGCAGCTTACAGGATTCAAATGCCCCTGGGGCGCTCCTCTAAAGACGAGGCTCCCCACCGGAGGCTTTCTGCAGGTCCTGTGGACTTGAGTATCCTGTTCTCACCTTTGTAGGGTGACCTCAGGCACCTGTCATTGGTGATGCCCTGAAATGTTACCTCTTGTCCCGAGATGCTTTGGGCCATCCTTCATTTCTGAAGGGCATCTATCTAAATGTCTTTCTCTCAGGTGGTGACCCTAGAAGAGAACCTGGGTACTGGGTTTTTTTTGTTTCTTTTTTAGGTTGAATTCTTACATCCTCTTCTAGTGACGAAATGGCAAATTCTTTTTTTTTTTTTTTTTTGGCTCTTCATTATTTTGGGGTGATGCAACCTATCTCTGGAGAAGTAAGATGTAGTCACTGTATCTTGCAACCAATCTGCTCAAGGCTGCCCAGAGTGCGAGGCTGGGAATCTTGCAAAGGCTCTGTTGGCTGGGAGGGAAGGACTGCCGGGGCAGATCGCTGATGACTGAACGGGAGGGGCAGGGGCGCGGGAGAAGAGAAGCGACGTGAGAGCCACTGATTGGCTAGCCATGCAGCACTGACCACATCACTGTCTAGGAATTTTCTTATTTATAATCTGTTGGCAGCAGGCTTAGAGCGCATAGCTTAATTTTTGGAGTGTTTTCTAGGTCAACAATTTTTTCTTGTACTGTTGTCCCTTTCATTCTCACTTTCTAAAAATTGGTGGGCCAACTGCGTAATCCCAGTACTCAGGAGGCTGAGGCGGGAGGACCTCACACTCAAAGGCAGCCCAGGCTACCTGGAGGGACACTGCCCCAAACAAACGAACGCTGGTGAGTCATGATAAGAAACAGACATTTGTTCTCCCACTTCTGTTCCTGGCACAGAGCTTCTAAAACTCTTCACTTCTTGGGTAGTGGGGGGACAGGAGCATTGTTTACCACATGTGCGTCTTTGTCCAGAGTTCTTTCAAGAACGATGAGCGCCAGGGGATCAGTGGGTGATTAAAGCATCGGTACTTTGGGTCTTACTCCAGCTCCCCCAACTCTGCAGGGGCAGCAGGGAGTGGAGGCTGAATTAATCAGTAGTGGCCAGTGAGGCAATGAACCGTGTGTAGGCAGAGAATGCTCCATAAAAGCTCCAACTGGAGGGGTTCAGAGAGCTTTGGGGCTGGTGACGTATCCCGGTGTTGGAGGGCAGTGGACCCAGCGGGGGCCGGAGGTTCTGACCACCTATCCCTCGTCCTGCGCACTGCATACTGGTAAACTCAGGGGCCTTCCTAAGGTCTGGGAGCCGTGCTAGCCAGTTATTACACCACAGAAGAGGGCCTGGGGACCCCTGCTTGGCCACCAGTTGGTCAGAAGGACGGGAGGCCCAGACTTCAGAGGTGTGACAGCCACGAACCCGTGCGTCCTGGAGGTGTGGGCACTAAACTGCAAGGACGTTCACTCGCAGAGAAGTCGGAGTCCCTTGGTGGGAGAGACCCCTCACTTTCGCTGTCCGAAGTGAGCACACAGAACAAATGAGATTTTCCTTGATTAGATTTTACACCTTACCTAGTGGAGCATGCTGACCGCTGGTATTTTTAACTAGTCTGTGATATTACAATTGTAATGTAGTCTTCCTAAAATTAATTTTTGTTGTTATTGTTTAGTTTCTGGCATTGCTTATTTAGGAGACAGGTCCTTATGGCTTTGCTTTATTTCTTTTGTATTATAGAGATTTTAGAAAATGTAACCCTGCTTTATTTTTCCCACTTTAGTCCTTATGTTTTGTGTGTGTGTGTGTGTGTGTGTGTGTGTGTGTGTGTGTGTGTTTTTCTGGGGGATATCTTATTTTAGACATTGATACTGGTCTTAAATGGATTTGCATAGAGAATATATCACAAAGTAATCTTTATGAACACAGTAATAGTTCTTTCTCTTTTAATAAAAATGAGATTATAGTGTATACTTTTTTGTTATTGGCTTTTTTCCACACAAACATATTATCATGAGCATATTTCTAGGTCAACACATATGGACACAATTCATTCTTTAAGAAACTGCGTAATTTTCTTGACCTGTTGTCCATTTCATTCTCATTTTCTAAAACTTGGTGGGCCAACCCTGCTTGGCGGCCCTTGCCTGTAATCCCAGCACTCATAGGGCTTAGTATATGTTCAACCATTTTCCTGCATACACACTGCCAGGTTATATCCTACTTTTTTTTTTTTTTTTTTTGCGGAACCGGGGATTAAACTCAGACCCCTTCACTTGCCAGGCAAGCTCTTATTCTACTGAGCTACTTCCCCAGCCCTATATCCAACTTTTCCTCTATTTGTAGTAAAGTTGTAATAAATACCTTGTGTGTATTGCTGATTATTACCGATTAAATAAAAGCCTCACAGATTTTCTTCTTATATATGCTCATTCTACAAAATCCCCTCATTAGTTCTTTTATTACTTGTGTCTTCAGCATTCGCTGGGTATGCAAATAAAACACTGCTATGTCTATTTTGCAAGATTATATCATTTATATCAATGTTAATTTTATTTTTAAGTTTTAGTTGAGAACCTGTTCTGCTATTCTTATTCTTTATTTCAAGGGATTTAACCCTCAAGAATTGACAGGCCCACTCAAATATTTCTATAGTTAGATAGTAGCTTCACTCCATTTCACTAGGATTTCAAACTATTATTAAAGATTTGTAGTTTTCTCCTTTGTTCTTTGTTAGGCTAATGTTACTAGACTTTTGAAATTATTTTTTATTACTGATGCTTTATTCTTTCAGAAAACTGGTCTTTGAATATTTCCATACACAGTGCTGCAAACTGTTCATAATTAGTTTAATTTTTATGAACTATTGAGCATGATCTTAAAATAGGACACGATTTCGGAAATCTCAGGTGATTTATTTTGTGACTATATTAGCCCTTTTTGAAGTTAGCATAAAAGATGCCTTTGGAGAGAATTTTTTAGAGAACAATGAAAACATTTAAAGTTATAAGGACAGGGCAAATAAATTCAATTACCCCAAATAGTGGAAAGAATTGATTTTCTAAATAACACAGTTATTATAATAGTGTGACCATCCTTCAAAGAATTAGAATATGTAAAACACTCTTTTCAAGTATATGGGGAGCATTTGGTAAAGTTTTCTTTTTTTTTTAAGTTACCAACAAAGAGAATTTGGTCTGTACACACATTTGTGGAGACTTATGGTACGGCTATAATCACAACTGGTAAGAGCTGCACGCGTAGCTGAAAAGAACATGACTACTTCAGTTTGTGGGTATGTCGCACGCCTTGCATCTAGTTCCATCCAAAGCCTCGTGTGGCCGGAAGAGGTGCTCTTCAGAGGTGGCCTGGTCCAGTATGTGTGATGCCGGGATTAAGGGTGCAAGAGTCCTCAAGTGGGCCACTGATTGGCTTGGCACAGTTGTAGGGTTGGACAATGGGAAGGCCCATGCTGGGTGTGGGTGGCACCATAAATGGTGGGTACCCTGGAGGGGATAAAAGGAGAGCGGCAGAAATACCACAG